TTTAAAACAACAGCTGAATTTGAAATTGTTAAAAGTATTAAAGAACGAGTATGTTTTTTAACTCCAACAACACAAAAAGAAGAAATAAGTCAAACTGATAAATCACAATTTACATTACCTGATGGAACATCAATTGATGTATGAAAATAAATAATTTCTAATTCAAATTTCAATATTCTTTTTTTTTTTCTTCTAGCTTGGTTCAAGTCGTTATCGAGCACCTGAAGTTTTATTTAATCCAGAATTAATTGGTGATGAATGTGAAGGTATACATGAAATTTTATCGGGTTCAATTCAACGATCTGATATGGATTTACGACGTATACTTTATCAAAATATTGTTTTATCTGGTGGTTCAACTTTATTTCGAGGTAAATTTATTTTGTTTATTCGATTAAAACAAAAAACAAAATACTTTTAAGGTTTTGGTGATCGTTTACTTGGTGAATTAAAACGTATAGCACCAAAAGAAGTTAAAATAAAAATTTCCGCACCACGTGAACGTCTTTATTCAACATGGATTGGGTAAATATAAAAAAAAAACACCAATATTTCTTGTTCATTTTTCAAACGAAATAATTTTTGTTTTGATTTACAGTGGTTCAATATTAGCATCACTTGATACATTTAAAAAAATATGGGTAACAAAACGTGAATATGATACTGAAGGTGCTAAAGTAATTCATCGTAAAACATTTTAATAAAGCATTTATATTTCGTATTTGTTCTTTTCATGGTGATTATGTTTTTTTTTTACTGTTAAAACAGACTTATTTATGTATCGAATGGTTTAATTGTATTTTTAACGCGCTGGTTCGTGCAAATAAATCTTATATCATTTTATTGGAATTGAAAAAAAAAACAGGAACAAATATTTGTGCATTTTTAGATGACTGAAAAAGTAACTCAACGTCGTCGACAAATTGATAATAAACGTTTATCGAATATAAGTAATGAACAAACAACTGAAAAGCTTATTGCAGCTACAAAAAAAAAGAAAACAATTTCGTAATAATGCATCACGTTCTGAATCTTTATTATCGAAAATTAAATTTCAATTACAAATATCAATATATATTATTATTTGTCTTGTAGTTTTATTTGGTTTATATAAAATTTTAATAGAAATTATTTATGTTGAATATACAAATATTCCGATTAGTTTACCTAAACTTGTTAATGTTAATGAGACAAATCCAGAGAGATTTTGGGGAACATATAGGTAAAATGAGATTTTATTTAAAGAAAAGATAAAAAAAGAAAATAGTTCTTGTTTTGATTCAAGATCGAATTTATATTTTGGTTTAAAACATCGAAGTGCAAAATCATTAAGTGGAGGATTAATGTGGTTTGATTATGATACATTACAAAAATCCAATGATCGATTTCTTAGGTAGAAAAAATATATATATATAAAAAGAAAAAAATTTTCAAAAGATCTTCTATTAGACATTGGTGTGATCAAAATGATCAGTTAAAATATGGATGGACATATCATGATGGTGAAACATTTGGAATTGAAGATATTAAAGATAATAATCTTGATTTAAATATTCAATGGATGAAACAAATTAGTGGACAACATGGAGGAGATTGGACTACACGTATTAATGTTATTCGAAAAGTATGAAAAAAAGAAAACATCTGACGCCAAATCGTTTTAAAATAGAATGCTAATAGACAAATGTTAAGAACATTAAACAAAGAAAAAGGAAAAGAGGACAATGATTAATGAGATAACCAAACATTACCATTATTTACATCAAATTTGTTAAAAATTAATTTATCTATTAAAATTTGGTGTCGAATTTTTCTATTTTATTAAATCAAACGTTTCCGAAATACTCAATGGAAAAAAAACTTGCTTGTTTTGAATTATCCAATAACTTGCTTTAAGCTGTTAAGCATAACAAAAAAACCTTAGATAGCATTTGGGTGTCATCCGACTGCGACATGTGGTGCAAAGTTTCGCATGTCGATGGTCGAAAAAGTCGATATCTTATAAAATCTATACCTCAGTTCTTGGACATTACTGTGTGACGCAGCCAGAAAAAACTTGTAGGGAGCAGATTGATCAGGGAATCTTTTCAGGTGTCAAATCCTTTTTCGATCGAGACAATGTTCATTTGATGAGTACTAGAGAGTAACAGAGAAGTAGTAGAATTGTTTGGTTTTCCTGGCCTTCGTTCTCGAGATATCGAAGTTTTACTGGTTTTCCCAATAGAAAGTTGTCATCACTCTCAGGTCATGTGAAAAATTGACTTTTGTGTTTCGACTTCAAATTTTACATGAATAAAGTTTTCAATGAGATTACTCCATTGGGCAAGTTGTAACTTTCCTAGTATTTTCTATCGTGAGATATTGAATATTCAAAATTCTCTTATGTGTAAAAGCAAATTTTGCTTATATATTTATATCTTCACAAAAAAAATTCTAGACAAGCTAAAAGTTGCACAATTAACGAATCTTATTAAGAACTCTGTTCGTGCAAGGTTTGAAGTCGAAATTCGACAGTCAGTTTTTCATATGACCTGAGAGGAACCATAGCTTTTTATTGAAAAACTCAATAAAATTTTGATATTTCGAGAACGAAGGTCCGAAAAACCAAACCATTCTAGGCTTTTCTATTACTCACTAATGCTCATCAAATGAATACCGTCTCGGTCGAAAAGCGATTAGACACATGGAAGAAGTTCCTGTGTTAGCCGCCTCCAATCATCTTCTGGCCCTGCCACTAGTACCTACGCTTGATTACGAAACGTTTTTTGTGAAAAAGTATTTAATGGAATCAGAGTTTTTTTGTTGTGATAAATCGAAATATTAACGTTTTCGACAGATCGGATCCTCAAAATTGAAAAGTAACCATTGTAAAATTCATTATTGAGAGAACTCTATTAAGAGATATCAACATGTCTTTATTAGATACTTTCAATTGAATGTTTGATTCTTTTTCTAATTCATTATGTATCATGAGCTGTATTTATACCTGTCTTACATATAGACAAAGAGAGTGGCCGCTAACTTTCTGTTGCTATCATCGTTTATATTGATGGGAAAACGTCTGATATCGATTCGATCATGAAACTTTATTTATGTGTATAAATGAGTATTTCCTTACATTCCATTCTTGAGATCATAATGACACAAAATAAGAAGTTTTTATGGATACGTCGAGAAAGAAGGAAAGAAAAAAGAACTCACAAAGGCCTATATAAATGCTGTACTTCGCACATGCATTAAAAACAAATCGGATTCAGTATGAATAGCACAAAGATTAATTTAAGGCTCATAAGAAATGTTTTGCATTCACTCGATGATTAAATGTATATTTATATTGTGTTTTTTTGCATGTTTCGAATGTTTCATTCTCAATAGTTATTTGGCATTATTGAGTGTTTTTTTATTTTTTTAGTCCACCAATAGAACAATACCAATATCTTTGTTCTTCTATTTCCACCATGAACTTCCATGGATAAAAAAATTAACATCAATTTCAAAGCAATCACCTAATACTGTAACTATTCGTGGTCAAACAAATGAATTAGATAAATTTACTATTAAAATTCAATTAAATACATTACCTAATCAACCTGTTATTCGTACATTAACAGATGTCTTTCAATTAGATACAATTCATCGTGATATCTTAACAAAATTAACATCTAATCCTCCTAAACAACCATTTTTTATATTAACTGATCAAATATTTCAAGAATTCGAACATAATACATTTTTTATTCAGTTAACTTTACGACAACCATTAGTTGATGAAACATTTTCATTTGATATAATCTATCAATCAGATTCATCAGATAATGAACGTCAACAAGATTTAACAGGTTTATATTTTAATGAAGAAATTCTTCGATTACAAAAACAATTTGATCAACGTTTTGAAAATATATTTCAATTAAAAACAAAACATAATATGGATGAAACAAAAATTCATTTTGCTCGTTCAACATTAAGTAATTTAATTGGTGGAATTTCTTATTTTACCGGTAAATTTTATTTTATATTTCCGAAAAAAAAAAAAAAATTTCTTTATTAATTTATTTTCTAGGTCAATCATTAGTAGCAAAAGCAAATCAAAAGATTCCTGATCAATATTGGACAACAAATTTATATACAGCTGTACCATCACGTTCATTTTTTCCACGTGGTTTTCTTTGGGATGAAGGTTTTCATAATCTTCTTATTGCTCGATGGAATCAAAATATTACTATCGATATTATGAAACATTGGTTTGATATGATTAATACTAATGGATGGATACCTCGAGTAAGAATTTAAGACTATTATCGGAATTTTAAAAAAAGGCCATCGGGCAAAATGCTTATAACTTTTGAATGAAGATAGCTAGAGCCCTGCGATTTTCTCCATTCGAAAGAGGAAACAACGGGACGTCTTTTTCTCCAATATCGTGTAGGACGAAATCATTTAAAAATCCGTTATTTCTACAAAACATCGAAAAAATGTATAAAAAACGGTCTAGTATTCAGATGAAATTTTGACGAAAAGTAAGAAAATATTATGCTTAAAATTTAAAAGAACTCTATAGTTTTCGTGCGATTGAATAGAGAAGTTTATTTGTTCAACATTAGGAG